AATTCTATTTTAATAATTTAACAACTATTATATTGCACTATCTTAATAAATCTTAATAATTTGTAAATTATTATAAAATTATTAAAAAATTTAAAAATTTTAAATACTTTCAGTTGATAGTACAACTTTTAAAAAGTATAAAAAGTTATTACTTTCTATTTCCAATTTTAATAATTAATTTACAAAGCTTTCTGATCTTCCTGATACTGCTTCTTAAGTCTTTTCTTTAGTCTTTTTAAATTTATTCTTTTTGAAACTTTTCTTTGAATCTGCAAGCATACATGAAAACATTTTCTAATATTTGTATATAAATTTAGTTATTATAAATAAAAAATAGTTCTATTTATATTATATATTAAAAATTACTTACCTTATAATATCAAAAAAGTAAAACTTAAAAAATGTAAATAAATTTAAAGCAAACAAAAACAAAATAAAAGAAAAATGTAAAATAAAAAATATTTTAAAAAAAAAAAGTTAGTTGAAAACAAATAACAGTTTGTTAAAAAATCTTCAAATCTTTAATAGGTTTAAGTTTTCTAAAATTTTAAAATGTTGTAAAGTTTATTAAAGTTGTTGAACAGTATATGCAGATTTGCAAAACTATTTGATAAAATCTAAATAATTATGAAATTAGTCAATATAATTAAATAAAAATATAACTAATATTAAATAATTATCTATGCAAATATTGATTCATGATCTATATATTAATATTAACTATTTATAGTGATTAGGGTTCCTATAAACTGAACTAAACTGAACTTTTATTAAGTTCAGGTTCAGTTCAAAAATTGAACTAAACTAAACTAAATATTTTTAAAAACTAAAGTTTAGTTCAGTTTAATTTTTGAACTTTTTAAATTAGTTCAGTTCAGTTCAGATTCAGTTCAAAGTTTATGAACATATTCAGTTTAGTTCAATATATTTTTATATAAATAACAAAATAATTTAAAATATTAAATTAGAATTTATTAGTAAAATTTTGAGAATAATAGTATTCTTTATAGTTTTACTAATAAAATTATAAAAGATACTATAATTCTTAAAAATTTATTAATATATTCTAACTTCATGCTTTAAGTAAATTTGTTCTATACATAAAATTACATTAGAGCAGTATATTTTATTTTATACTTAATAAATTTTAAAAAGAAGAGCTTAATTTTTGTTTTTTAATAAAATTTTTATTAAAAATTTAAAATTAAGCATCTTCTCTTTAAAATTTATTAAGTATAAAATAAAATATACTGCTCTAATATAATTTTATGTATAGAACAAATTTATTTAGAATATGAAGTTAGAATATATTAATAAATTTCTAAGAATTTTTTTTTTAGTTTCAAAAGTGATTTTGCCTATATATCTTTTTATTATTAGCCATATAAGATTACATATTATATATAGGATATATCAATAAAAGTACAACTAGTTACACATATAACTTTAATCATTATCTAATTAAGGGTTTTGCTTATGAGTTATCTACTAGATGCTAAACCTAAGACTCATCTGTATGTTCTCTATTTAAATTTTCTAATTTTTAACACTTACTGCATATATATACAATATATATCACTAAGTATTATGACAGAACAAATTAGAGCTATCTAATTACTATTTATATCTAAGTATCATCTTATTGAATATTACTAAGTATTCATAGTTCTTTGATTTTATCCTCAATACAAACTTACTAAGTATGTTACCAAGATTACTTCTTAGATTTATTCAATTTTAGTAGATTTCGTATTTACTAGAACCAGTTTGATGTCAGAAGTATTTGAATTTCAGTAAGTCTATTCCTTTTCTATAGTTTCTTTTTATGTTTATCATATCATCTGCTAGTGTGCCTTTTTTTTATTTCTGGTATGTTTATCACTTCTTTTACATCAAGTGCCAACTCTTTATATTAGGAAACTTCTTTTTAAAAACTTCCTTATATACTGATCTTCTAATTACATGAACTTAGCTACAGGGCTTCATATACTTTATATGCTTCTGTAGATTACAGAGTTTTGCCTCTAGCTAGAATTGAACTATTAATCTTGTTTGTAGAGAGAAAGGTGCTTAGACTACTAGACTACAGGACCCCATCCCTATAAATTTCTAAGAATTATAGCATTATTTATAATTTTATTAATAAAATCAAAAGAATACTACAATTTTAAAATTTTACTAATGAATTCTAACTTAGTATTCTAAAGTTATTTTGTTAAGTATATAAAAATATATTGAACTAAACATGTTTATAAACATTGAACTGAACTTTTGCTATGTTCAAGTTCAGTTCAGTTCAGTTTAAGTTTAGTTCAAGTTCAGTTTAAGTTCAAAATTAGAGAGTTTAGTTCAGTTTAGTTCAGATTCAATTAAACTGAACTGAACTTATTTGAACTGAACTAAACTTTAAAAACTCTAATAGTGATTAATTTTAATTTATTTAATCAATAAATTTTATTTATAATTTAATTGTTCTTCTAAAATAATATTTCTAAAAATGTAATATTATTTTAATTTATTGCATAATTTTAAAAATAGAAATATCAACATAAATATATTTAACACATTTATTTAATATTAATAAAATAAATTTTAATATTTCTATATATATGTATATATATTAATAATATACAAAGATAATTAATTTATTTGAATAATAGTTAAAATAATAAAATAAATAAAATTTAATTTGAAATTAATTAAAAAAATAATAAAATATTAAAAAAATAAAATTAAATTAAAATAATTAAAGAATTAATTAAATATTTTTAGTATATTAATAAAAAAGAATTATTTTATATAAGGGATGTGGTAACTTAGTAAAGTGGATAGGTTGTCAACCTCCAAATGGCAGGTCTAGAGTTTAAATCTCAGTAATGATAAAAATTTGCAATTTTTTCTGTGTTATAACTAACTGTCTTTCATGATTGGTTGGAATAAGATACCTATAACCTGTATCATACCAGTATAACTAGAAGGTCTAAGCACTTGTACAATGTTGTATGAGGGAACACAAACTGGTACTGGGCAGTGTGAAACCAAGATAAATCATTAGGTCATGTAAATCACAGGAACCAGGTAGAAAGACAGAAGCCTACTTGAAAGACCCAAGTAGAAAGGTAACCCAAACCTTTGATGGTGCTACTGTAAAGACTAGACTTATGAAACAGAGCTAGAACTTGTGAAACTGGGCAAGTGTGCTAGTCTTTGAGAAGAAACCGGATGAACCACCCAGGCCATCAGAATTTCTAAGTTTCAGAGAAAAAGGGCACATGCTGGCAAACATGTGAACCAGAGATGTATAGTTTTGACCTACCTTTTTGGGCTATCTGAAATAGCAGCTTGATAGAACTTAAATTGAATATCAAAATAGTAAGAATATATTGTAAAGTTAGTACTAAGGTTGGGGTGAACTCTACAAGGGCATAGTGGTTTAATACTATGTCCTGTAGTGATGTTATCCAAATCCAGTAGTTTGGAACTTAGTAGAATCCCAAAGGTTTTTACTAAATTCTACAAATGTGTTGTAACCCAAACTATATTTGGAATATATTGTAACTCAAACTATATTTGGAATGTGTTGTAACCCAAACTATATTTGGGATGTGTTGTAACCCAAATTATATTTAGGATATGTAAAAATGTCATAGGTTAAGATTAGTAATTCTCTAATTACCGATTTCTTTATCGACAGTTTGCAAAAAGAGTTTTCCGTCATTTTGTATCTTGTTTATGATAAAGACTAAGAATTACTATAACATGAAAATTAACAAGTCTCATAGTTGTAATTTTCTTAGATCCTCAAGATTTAATATCGAACATAACTTTGCTATAATCAAGTTTCTTTCTGAAATACTTTGAGAATCTTGCTCTATCATAATTATATTCTTTGATTAAGCCTTTAGGATTGTTATTAAGCAAATCTTATTACAGAGAATAGTTAAAATATAGGTTTTCATTTATTTTATTATTTTTTTGTGAATTTTTTATCTTTATCTTTTTTTGTAAACCCAATGCCTATTATAATCTAATTATTTTAATAAATAATATCTAATATTGTATTAATAGGATTTATATAAGTATTTTTGTTTCAAGTGTGATTCTTTACATGACAGAAAGTGAGTTTTGAATTAGAATAACTAGAATAATCAGTATGTCATTCTTTTAATTGCTTGTTATTTTATTATTTTAAAGCCTATTTAGAACATCTGGTTTCACTTTGCAGTATATGTATTATTATTTTCTTTATATGTGGCAGCTGTGATTAATAGAACAAATTCAAAGTTTGTAATAAATATAAAAAAAACTTATTTTAAAGCAATAATGTACAATTTCAATAAATTATTTATATCTTATCAATATAACAAACCTACTTAAAGTCTAGTGTAATGATAAAATTTTTTTTTATAAAATCTGATCCCTTTTATTAGTCAGTGACCTCATTTTGAATTACTAACAAAAATACAATTTAAGATCTAGAAATTAATCAATCTTTTATTCTTTTTTTTTAAAAAAAAATAGCATTACCAAAAAGTTACTGCTCTACTTTCTGTGGATTTGCCATATTCAGCAAATTTTAAACATCATTCAAGTATCTTTATTCTGGTTGTTTTTATTTTCTATCAGAATGGTTTAAGGACTTTGATAGATTTATATGTCAGAATTGATAAATGCATACTAGATTTATATATAAGATAAACATTTGTATTGAGATCAAATAATGAATTACAGTGAAAATTAAATAACAAAAAGATACAAACTGAATATTAACACAATTTAATAAAATTATTCTTGCTATCAAAAAAAAAAAAAAACTATTTAAAAATAAAATATAAATATATTTAAATATTACTTTTCTAAATTTTAGAAATACTGCATTCTTCATTAATGTTATGTAATGTTTTAACAATAATTAGATTGTTGCTAGTTTTAATAAAAAAAAAAACCTAACAAGACAGTAAGTATATTTTATTTATGATTGTATAAACCTATGTGCCTTATTACAAACTCTCATCAACATTTTGAAATTCACTCTTTACAACTGTAGTAGGATCAAATTCTATATTACTATTTTCTACTATTGAATGAAATACTTTTTCAGAATTACCTTTTCCACCAAAAGTTATGTTTAACAAATCGGTTATTGAGCTAATTTCAAACTTATTATTTAATTGTAAAGGTTCTAAAAATTCTATATTTTGTTCTAAAACTATATTATTATTTTCTGTAACTGTATAAGTTGTTAAATCTAATGTATTATCATGTAGTTTATTTTCTGATAACTCCTTACTATAAAATTGAAGTCACTTTTAAGATTAGAAATATAAAAGGAATGGATTTGCACCATACTTTCAATTTTTTCAAAAGATAATCATGAACGATATGTGCTATACAACCATTTTAAAATAGAGAAATTACGCTTGCAACTTGCCTGTGAAGATACAATTGCAAAAAGTATTTTTGCAAGATCCTGAAGATGAGTATGATTATCTTCAATTACACCCTATCATAAACTGGATGATTTAGATGAGTCATATTCAAAATCAAATGGATACTCTATATTTTTATAGTAAATCAATTGTGTAGTTAATTGTTGATATGCATCCTTATTATGGTAAGTACTTTTATAGAATTTAATGGCTATCTTACAAATTATTCGAAACATTTCATGATATAATTCAAGACCTATATTAGATATATTAAAAAAAATTTTTTTTGTATAAATTTATATACATAATTAGTAAATAATATTTCTAAATTAAACTGCATAATAGTGCTTCTAATGGGTTTGATCTGTATGAAACTGAGTTAACTAGATTAATTTTAGAACAATCTGTTAGGAATACTACTATATAATTTTGAAATTAAATATTTTTATAATCTGAATAAAAAAAATAAGCAAGTAAGTATAGATCAATATCATATTCAGTATAATGTTTATTAAATATAGCGATAGCTGGTTTATAAAAAACATTATTCTTAGAAATTCTATTAATGGCTGCAGCTAATTTTACTATATTAATAAAACAATTAGCAAGATTTGCTATACGTGCTTCAAGGCTATGAATTGCTTCTTTAATAGGTTGAATTATAGATGCAATTTGACAACAGTTTGTATAAAACATGTCATTATTATCATTCAATAATAAAATAATTGCAGGTTTATAAATTAGATCACAATTATTTTCTAAAATCTAAAAAAAAAAATTAGTAATATATATATATACTGTATATATTATAATAATAATTATATATTAAATCATATATATGTACATACATTATATACACATACATACCTTATCAAAAACAGGTTTTAATCTTACAATCGAAGATGAAGTTCCAAAAATTGAACCCTATCTTGTCTTACAATATGTCTCTAAGCTGCCTTTATCTAATTTCATATTTTTTATATTATCATGAAGTAATCAACATGCTTGATATGATTTTTTAAAAAATTGAACAATTTAATTAGCTTGTTTTAAAACATGATCAACTGATTTAACTTTTACTATATTGCTTGCAATAAGGTTTAATGCATGGGTAATACACCTAATGTTCCATATATGTGAATAATTATGTATAGTTATTTTACGAACAACATGAATATTGCTTCTATTATCAGTAATACAGGCTATAAATTTATCAAAACCAATTTTGTCAACAATATCTGAAATTTTGAAGGTAAGAAATTTACCAGTTTGTGCTACATCTGAAAAATCTAAAATAGAATATAAATATTCTTTTCTGTCAGATATAGAAACAATAAAATTGTATAATGAGTTATTTGTTGGGCTTGACCAACCATCGACTGCTAATTATTAAAATAATATTACATAATTAATAAAAAATTTTTGTTATATATTAAAAAAAAAAAATTTATATTGGTTTTGGTAATCAATTTTAGACACCCATATCAAGAATGTATCTATCTCAAATAATAAATATCAATTGATGAATATTTAAAAATAGTGACATTCTTGACAGAAGTGTTCAAAACTGATCATCAAAACTAAATATATATTTTTTTATTATCTAATATTAAATATTTTGCTTTGCCAAGTAAATTATTTACTCGTACTATTATACAGGCTGCTTTCTTATTGAGCACTCGCTCTGCTAACGTAAGTCTTTCAGGTAGAATATATCCAGGTTCAAGTATATTAAGAAGATCACAAACAAATAGATTGTCAATTACAAAAAATGCAATCCCAGTGCAAACAAAAGCTTTAAGTAAAGCTTTGTTGATTTCATTAACTCTTTCATTTGATATAGGTTTAAAATATGAAGTTGAAGCTTTAGACCTTACTGATGATGATGATATAATACTTTTATTATCACTATTATTATCATCTGATTTGTTATTTTGTTTTGCTATCTGAACTAACCAGTAACACCTTATATTATCAAGAACCTCGCCCTTATAATAGAGAGCTAAGTGAGCTTTCATAGTTGAAGGTTTTTTATGTTTCTATTTTCCTTAAGGACAATAACGGCATTGCACACCATAGTGCCTTTATCATCAAGCTTCTCATAAATAAAATTATCCCAAACTGCAGCTCATGAGCACTCATCTTTATTTATTATTGCTCTTTAAAGACTTACTACTGATTTTTGTTTTCTAGTAGTTTTATTTAATTGGGATGTTTTAGATGCAGTCTCTAATTCTAATAAATCCTCTTTCATAACGAAATTTTAATTATTATGAAAAGTTAGAAAATAACTTTATTAAATTTTTGTGATTATATATACATTTATAATAGTTATTGATTTATTTTTTAAAGAAAATGATTACTAATATACTAAATTACTTTTGAATAATAATATGCAAAATTATTATTATATCTATATACAAAAAAATTTTTTTTCGAAAACAGTTTAAAAAAAGTTTAGTCTGAAAGCTAAGATTCATAACAAGAGTATATAGAATTCGTAAAAAGTAAAAGAATATATAAATTTTGACAGATAAGTTAATAATCATGGCATTATGAACTTTAACATAATTATTAAAAGTAAAATTCATTTGTTGAACATAAAAAAAATAGATCATGTTAAAAACTGAATACAAAAAGATGAATCGAATTCAAGGAGCAAAAGAGGTGCTTCTTGCCTGTAAGTAACTAGTCCTAGCTTTTAAGCCAGTGAAATCTCGAATCAAGAGAACAAACTGTAAATTAAATAAGCTAAGTATCTTTGTATAACAATCAGTTATTGATTGGTTGGTAATATTTGGAATATGCAATAAGAAATAGACAGATGTATGGGTTTTGAATTAGGTTTGGAATGTCAATAAATGTTGACTCCCAAACCCAAATTAGGTAAAAATTCCAAAATGTCTTATATGGGTTTGGGTAACATCACTAATGCTCTAATTGCCAGTATTGGTCTCAACTATAGTGATATCAAGTTAGCTGTAAGAATAGAATACAGAAGATTCTGAAAGGTTTAGTACAAGGTCTATCAGCATTGGCCAGGGTTGTTAGTAGACAAAAATAGATGGGTGAATACGAAAACAGAGTAGTTAAATAGGGAACCTACAAGCAGGTTTTAGGTATGGCAGCTAGTATAGAACCTTCGAGCAGACTACTTAAATTAGACAATAACTAAAGTTGTACGAGTGGCTAGTTGTACACTCTTTCCATAGTTGCCCCTTGTGGTTGTAATGCAACTATTAGCTGAATATATTATCAATAAAATCCTGGGTCGCAAGTACTTATCTTAATATTTAAAAAAAAAATTAAATGCAATTCAGATTTTTCTTATAACAAAGTTTACTTAATTACAAAATTTAAACTTATATTAGTTATTGAAATAATGCTTTAAAGCAATACTTAAAAAAAAAAAGCCAATTCATAACAAATTTAATTACTATTAAATGCTTTTTTTTTATACTTAACAATCTTTATACTATATTTATACAGAATCTTTTACAAATTATTATCCAAATTTTTCTTATAGTTATTTTAGTTTAATTACAAAATTTAAAACTATATTAATCATTAATAGAATACTTTAAAAATACTAAAAAAAAAAAAAACTAATTCATGACAAATTCAATTACTATCAAATACTACTTATACTATATTTATGCAAAATCTTTTACAAATTATTATTTAGATCTTTCTTATAGCTATATTAGTTTAATTACAAAATTTTAAACTTTATTAATTATTAATATAATACTTTAAAAATACTAAAAAAAAAATTCAATTATGACAAATTCAATTAATATTAAATACTTTTTTTTTATACTTATACTATATTCATACAGAATTTTCTACAAATTATTATTCAGATCTCTCTTATAGCTATGTTATTTTAATTACAAAATTTAAAACTATATTAGTTGTTGAAATAATATTTTAAAAATATCAAAAAAAAAACTAATTTGTAGCAAATTTAAATTGTTTTTATATTTGATAATCTTTTTACCTTATGCAGGTGATTAAATATAATTTAAATCTTGAATCTCTTTTAAGACTATATTATATTAGCTATGAATAACACTTTTGAAATAAAGAAGTCAAAAAACTTCAAGCCTACTTAACTATATATTATTAGACTATTTGCAAAAATGTAACATTAGTAAAAGTTTCCCAAAAATAGGATTATATAGAATTAAATTTTCTAACTAATAGTAAAGTAAAAAACTAGTGTTTTCTGAAAATTATTTAATCATATGTAACATGTTCAGCCACTTGTCATATGAGCAATTGTATTCTCATATAAAGAGTACTTTAAAATTAATATAAATGTTTGTATAATAATCTATATTACAATTGTATCACATTAGCTAATCAAAAGAACTTTTTATTATACTGAAGATGATAATCTAACTACTATACTAGAATCACCATCTTCTGTTTTTTTATTTTATTTTATTTTTTTTTATTGTATTAAATATTTTTTTTTGGTAATTTTTTTTTGCTGTTTGGATTCCATTATATATAATATCCTACTATCTATCTAATTTATTTTGTAGAACTTTCTCTGTTTTTTTTTTAATGATTTAAACTTTATAATATTGTTTATAATTTTTGTAATTGGATTTTTTTTTCTAACTATAGATTCAGCTTTATTCTATAATTTTCTATATTCTTTTTGATTGCTTTTTCTTATAAAAAAATTATTCTTTGTTATTTTATTCTTTTGATTTCAACTATACTATATAGTTTAAATAAATGTTTTAGATTTATTTATATTATTATTAAACTATAATTACTATTTGTATATATATTTATTTCTTATATTTTTGAGTTAAATAACCTATTTGCTAATTCTTTTATAATTCAAATTTGATTGATTCTTGATTCTAAATCTCTATTTAATCATAAAAATTTTTTTTTCTAAGTTTATTAATCTATAAGCATTTCTAAAGTCTTGCTTTGTTAATTATTTAAGTAATAGGTCTTGTTTAACTAATTTTTGTTTCAAGATTTCTGATCTATTTAGTTTTTTTAATTATTATTTTTTGTACTTTAATTGATAATAACCTTAATAAACAATATAGTAATTTATATATATATATATATATATATATATATTTTTAAGCAGTTACACTAGTGCTTTATTAAGATTTTTGAAACTACTATTGTAATTACATAAATTTACCTAACAACTAAGC